TAATTAAAATCAAAAAGCATTTTCGAGGAAAAGATACGATTTTATCCTCCTAAACGGAAAAACTTATCTGATTTTCGAAAACGCGTCAAAAACAGGCCTGGCGCCTGACTCTAGGCATTGGCGCCTGGAGCTAGGTCTGGCGCCTGGCGCCAGTTAGCCAGGGTTAGCGCCAGCTCTGTTTTAGCTGCGCCAGCTCTGTTTTTCGTGCGCCAAGTGCTCTGTTTTGATATGTTATCTTTTTGGCTGATTTCTTTATAAATAACGTATTAAAAACTCCGTTTTCATTCACCTACAATTAGTTTTCATTCGCTAACTCTCATCAAGATTTCCCTAAACAATTCATTCATTAATTCATCTTTCTCTTTCTTTCTCAAACCTTGCTTTTCACATACAAAATTCCGCATTCACAAGATCTAGAAACACCTAGCCATATTCGAAGTTGCCTTCGCCCTAGACGTGAAAGGTTTAATTTCTGAGGGTTTGGTCCCAAATCTCTCTTTCAATTATTTAATTTAATTGTTTTGTTTTATTATTTTCCTTGAAGTTACTAACGTGTGTATTTTGTTATTATAAAGAGGTATGAGGAATCAAAGTAAGTACTTTAATTGATTTATTGATGTTATGATGTAGAAATCATGTTTAAATTGTTATTATGATATTCCTAGTATCATGTCTAGGGTAATTTTAATATTAAATATGATTGTTACGATGCTTCCTATGTTCTTCCTAATATTTATGATTGTTAGTATCATGTTAGGGTTAAAGATTTGATTTTTATTGCTTAGTGACATGCTAGGGTTTGTTATTAATCTTGTTAGTATCATGCCTTGGATCTTGCTATTATTAAGCTTTAATATTAACATGAACATGATTATGATTATAATTGTTATAATTTATGATGATTATGAATATTATTATTATTATTATTATTATTATTATTTTGATGATGATTATTTTATTTATGATGATATTATTATTATTATGATTATTATGATGATTGATTATTATAATTTATTATGTTGCTTGATGCTATTTATTGCTATTGATTGATCACACCTTTTATGCATGTTTAAACGGAATTTGGTACCTGTAATCACGCTTAATAAGATATTTAATAATCTTGTTTAGGGTTGATTTTGATTATAATTTCAAGTGATCGCCAATAATAGTTTATTTGTGCTTTAATATTCAACCAACATAGATAAACAGGTTTAGGGTTAAACCTATTGATTGTATGTTAATTAAAAAGCGCACATGAATACGATCAGAATAAAGTAGAGGCCTATTATTAGGGCAGGTTCAATCTCTTTTAGGTTGGATTTGTACCTTCATCCCCGAACCCTTATTTGGTTCAAGACCTTATGGAGTTGACGATCTATTGGATCGTTAAGGGTTGTAACCTTCACCCTGTGAATGGTTTACAAGTTCCTAAAACTTGTTGGCAACTCTTTTTCTTTATTCTCTTCCCTTTTGGACGCCACCGTACTTTAGTGTATGATCACAGTGGGGTTCAAGCTAGGGGTTAACGCTTGAAATTATTCCCTACAGAAACCATATCCAATTGCCAGACAACGAGCTTCATACCTAACCCGCTTCCGATGAGTCGCATCAGCCATAACCCGTCCCGGAACAAAGTCAGATAGCCCTGTTTGTGTCAAAGGAGAAGACCCTGTGAAGTCGACACATACATCACGACCACGATCCCATGAATAAAGTAACACATCGGCAAGTCTGAGGGCCCCGTCATTCCCTCCAGACAATCCTATGTCAACCTCCTTTCTTGCTGAAATCCCAGATCTGTAGCAAATATCAACAAATGTATCCTGAACAACATTTTGCCGATGTTTAATACCAACAATGCCAGCACACGACACCGCATGGTCGCCGAATACATCCCCAGTAAAAACCCGAGAGCAAGCAGAGCACGGTGTCGAGACAAAGAACAATGGAACACCCATCCGATACATCCATCTTTAATGAACCGGTCCAATAAGTCTGACCTCATCCACTAAATGAATTAGATGAACCATGACTGTAAAAAATGTTGGTAAAAATTCTTTCTCTAACTTGCAAAGAGTCAACACGAGCTTTGATTAAATGGTATCTAATTTTCTCTATCTATATTTCTTAAACATATCTTTTTAAAAAAGTCTGACAACTCCTCAAGCAAGTCAATAACTTTTGTGGCATTTGACGCCCTTAAAGTGACCGGCAGGATATCTTGCATGAGAATATGATGGTCGTGACTTTTCATATTAATAATTTTTCGCTGCTTTAGATTGACACATCTTTGGAAATTAGATCCATATCCATCAGGAACTTTCATATTTTTAAAGACTTTTAAAAATTGTTCTTTCTCATCATTAGACATGGTGTATGCAGCCGGCGGGATGTAACCTTGAGGGTTGATCCATAGATGAGGCTTTATATTCAACTTCTTTAAGGTTTCTCTGCCACTCTCATCATCTCTACTATTATTTATATATAAAAGAGTTCCTAATAAAATATCGGACACATTCTTTTCGATGTGCCTAACATCTAAATTATGTCTAAGAGGATTATGCTCCCAATACTCTAATTCAAAAAATATACTTTTCTTTTTCCATAGATTATCATCACCATCTGGATCCCAATCATCATCAAGTTCATTGGAAGCTTTCCTAACCTTTTTTTAGGAACCTTTTTTTACTTCCCATATACATACTCTACCCCTTCTTATTGCTTTAAACTTTGGCCCCGCTGGTACGAATCGGAGCAATACCATATTCTTCTTCCCCATCAACACAAATTAGCTTGTGAACGATATGGGTGATCGATAGGCAGCCATTTTCGATACCCTAGGTAGATAATTTTGCCACCAAATCTATCTGAATACGTGGAATGCGTGCAAGAAGGACAAGCTTTGTAGCCTTTTTTACTCCAACTTGAAAACATGGGATACGCCAGAAAGTCATTAATAGTAGAGTGTAGGGCTACTCGCATTTTAAAGTTTCTTCCACTATAAGAATCAAAAGCATCAACACCTTCCCAAAAAAAATTCAATTCACGGATTAGTGGTTGCAAGTACACATCAATATCCATACCGGGACCAAATTTACCAGGAATAATTATAGAAAGAATAAAGGATGATGATTTCATGCAAAGCCATGGTGGTAAATTATAGGGAATAATGACCACCGGCCATGTGCTATAATTTATATTCATAAGACGACATGGATTAAAACCGTCACTCGCTAGGCCCAATCTAACACTGCGAATATCAACGGAAAACTCTGTATATTATTTATCAAATTTTTTCCAAGCCTCACCATCAGCAGGGTGTCGTAGAATCTTATCATCCTTACGATTAAAGTGACATCTCATGTCCTCTTCTGTTTTAGATGACATGTAAAGCCTCTTTAATCTAGGGATAAGGGGAAAGTACCGCATTACTTTAGCTGCCTCGCCTTTCTTACATGCTTCTTTTCCTTTCTCATTTACATCACCCTCCTTTCCTTTCACACTTTTCCACCTTGATGTATGGCATACATGACACTCACTTTTATCCTCAAATTCGCCCCAATATAACATGAAATCATTTGGACATGCATGGATTTTCTCATATCCTAAACCCAAATCATTTATTATCTTCATGCCTTCATAATAAGACTATAGAAATCCTTAATAATTGGAAATGCGTCAATTAGAAGTTCAAGCAATTTATTAAATGACTCAACAAACCAATGAAACATAAACTTTAGCTGAAACAAGTGCAATAGAAATAATAGTTTTGAAAAAGTAGTATACCCCTCATACAAGCCTTTTTCAGAAGCTTCCATGAGATGTTTATACTTTGCCTGTTCTTAATTTGAGAAAGTTGATTGATACTCATCATCTACCTCGCGATTTATGGTAAAATCCTCATCCATGCCATATGAATTGTCATCTTCATTAATTGGTTCAATTGAGGTTTGTCGGTTGGTTGTGTATTAACTCTAACATCTACTTTTAGTAACCCGTCCATATCATCTCGACCTACTTCCTTTGCTAGATCATTACTTAGATCGTAGGTCTTACTCCATATTTACAATGAAATATCCAATTTCTATAGTTTTTATAAAAACCATAAAATAAAATATGCCCTCCTACTTCTTCTACATAATTCGCTTTATTTAACTTGCACTTATTACATGGGCATTTAGTTTCCCATGAATTTGGTAAAAGAGTCTCTTTAGCAAGTTTCAAGAATTTCATGCAATCTTTATAATAACTAGGATCACCTCTTGGTAAATCAATCCAACTAGTATACATGTCTACAAAGAAGTATATAGTTAATTATAAACAATGACATTATATAAAAAAATCATTTTACAAGCATCCATCACTACTACAAAAAAGGCCTTAGAGAACTGTTAGGATAGGCTTTATAGATCGCCTTAGGGGCGTTCTTCCGCTAAGCGATGTATAAAGTATAGAGAACGGGTCGTGTAGGGGTTTTATATAATAACAAATAGAGAATGGTTGTTAGTCACAACCGTTCTTTTTTCCCTTCTTAAATTCGTACACCAAGGAAGGAATATAGAACGGTTTAGGCCACTTAACCATTCTATATTGCATTACAATAGAGAACGGTTAAGTTAGATAACAGTTCTCTAATTTGTTTTTTAAAAAAAAAAATCCGGCCATATGTATTTTATACCGTATTATTCTTGTATTTTAATAATCTAACACCAAACACTAGATTAAAGATCGCAAAATATAGAACGGTTATCAAAGATAGGCGTTCTCCAGAAGAATATAGAACGTATTTATATAAGAGGCGTCCTGTATGTAAATACATATGGAACGGTTAGCATAGTTAACCGTTCTCTATTTTTTACTCTAAAATATCTTTAAAAAATAATTAATTATTATAGATGATATAGAACGATCCCCTTGACAACCATTTTGTATTGTATTAATTAATTTTTTTTTATTAGGAGGAAAAAATATACACAGTAATAATTTGCCCAAATTAATTAAAGCGGCTAAAAGGAATTGAAAAGCGCGCTCCTCTTTTCACTTTCAGTTTCACATTCTTTTATCGATCACTTTCACTTTAACTATAGCTTAAAAAAATACTGCTTGTTTATTGCTTTCGTGAAACCTCCACCACTATCATAACTTCAGCTGCTGACTCACCGCCGCACCACCGATTGCCGCACAACTTCTGAGCGCCGCACCACTCCTCTGAGGTAGGTTCGAAGCTTCTTGTTATAGAGTAATTGAATTTTCATTATTTGTCAATTGAACTGCATGCATCATTCGAAATATGAAGGAAACATAATTAAATTCATAGTTTTCATCTATTAAATTAATTTGCAATTTGAATTTTAGGTGATAGAAAAAAAACTTAAAAGTTCTAATTTTAGGGTTAAATTCAATTGATTGTTTGTATGCAAATATTTCAGTTGAATTGCAGTAAGTTCAATCAAATTCCCCTTAATTTTGTCGAATTACATTTATTTCAATAGTAATCAAAATAATTATAGCCAAATTAATCATACCTAAGTTCAATTTAGAACCCTAATCACATAAAGAAAGAGGGGTAGGGGAAATTGATTACCACTGGATTATTGAATTGTGCTCTATTAATTTCAAATACTCTGCAATAAATTTTAGAAATATTGATTCGCTTTGCTTTTTCTTTCATAAAAGGGTTGGTTATGAGATCTTGTGATTGAAACTATGTGATGATAAAATCTGATTCTAGTAATGTATAAGAGTAGTCATGGTTTTCACTATGCTTGCAATGATGAGTAAGGAGTGTGTTTTTGTGGAATTTGTGTAGCAGATTGTGAAGAGAGAAGAGAGAGGGAATCATAATACGTGGACTGTGGTACTGAATTTATATTATTGGCTTTTTATGGGGTTGTTGCATGTATATTAAATATTGGTAAAGGTGGGGCCTCGTATCAATATATCTTTCACTTTAGAACAATGTTGGGCACAATTGACTTGATAAAGTTCGCATAACAAAGATGGTCCAATAATTACATTATATGAAAACACATTATAATATTGTATCATTAATCTGCACCAATAAAAGAGATTCTTATACTTTAGTAGTTGCAGAGCTTAAATAAATTGTTATTTACATGTAAAAGTGAGTTTATTAGGTTGTTTTTATTTATATTGTTGTAGGCATTAACTATTGTAGTGTATGTTAAAATTATATCCATAAGTATATAGCAGTTATGTTTGTGACTTGTGTGTGTTTATTTTTATTTTTAACTTTCTAGATTGTAGAAATGGACCGAACTTGGATAACCACAAAAAAATTAGGGGATCCAGAATATGAAGCTGGAGTTATGGAATTTATTAAATTCGCTTTGGAAAATAATAGTGAAGGGCGTGATAAATTGCCATGTCCTTGTTACATCTTCCATAATCTTATGTATCACAAAGCTGATGTGATACTTAATCATTTGAGTAAAAGGCAATTTGATAGAACATATACTTGCTGGCATCGTCATGGTGAAAAAAAGGAAGAAATTTCAAGCAAGGATGCTCAAGGCCATAATACCGATGAGGGTAACGAATTAGAGGACATGACGAGTCAATTCGTACACAGAGTAGATTATGATCCCAATGCGATGGAAAATTGTTGAGTGATTCTGAGAAGCCTTTATATGAAGGGTGTAAGTACCCAAAGCTATCAGCTTCACTTCAGATATACAATTTAAAGGTGGGTCATAGTTGGACAGATAAGAGTTTTACAGCATTACTTAAGTTCTTGATAGATGTCCTTCCATCTGATAATGTTTTGCCAAAGAATACATATAGGGAAAAAAACATTATGCACAATGGGTTTGCGTTATGAAAAAATTCATACGTGTCCTAACGATTGCATACTTTATCGAAATGAAAATGAATCAGCAATGAGTTGCCCAGAGTGTAATCTCTCAAGGTACAAGAAAAAGGAAAGAGTGCCGGCTAAGGTTTTGTGGTATTTTCCAATTATTCCTAGGTTTAAACGGATGTATTCAGACCCGGTAGATGTAGAGAAGTTGACATGGCATAAATTTGGTCGGAAAAAGGATGGGTTACTTAAACACCCGGCTGACTCACCGCAATGGAGATTTATTGATGGACAATTCCCTGATTTTGGTAGTGAAGAACAAAACCTACGCCTTGGGTTGTCTACTGATGGTATGAATCCATATAGTTCCTTTAGTAGCATCCATAGTACATGGCCAGTCATGCTAGTGGCTTATAACTTACCTCCTTCGCTATGCATGAAAAGAAAGTACATTATGTTGTCAATGCTTATTTCTGGACCTAAAAAACCAGGAAATGACATCGATGTGTATTTGGCACCTCTCATTGACGACTTAAAAGTTGTTGTGGGAAGAAGGTGTAGAAGTGTTTGATGCTAATCGGAATGAAATGTTCAATTTAAGAGCAATGTTATTTTGCACCATACAAGATTATCCAGCATATGGTAATCTTTCTGGCTATTCTGTAAAAGGGGAAGGTGGTTGTCCTATATGTGAAGATGGTTGGAAAGGTAAATGGTTATTGGCATCTAGAAAGACGGTCTACTATGCTCATCGTCCATTTCTTCCTTTGGATCATAAGTATCGTTGAATGAAGAAAGCTTTTAATGGGGAACAAAATTTCGAAAGTCGCCCAAAAGTCTTTACTAGCCAAGAAGTATTTGAAAAGGTGAAAGACATTCAACTTACTTTTGGCAAGTTAAAGAAAAATAAAGATGCCATTCCTAAGAAAGGGTACAAGAAGTGTTGTGATTTTTGGCGTCTTCCTTATTGGAGATTTCTCTTTGTCCGACATTCTCTGGATATTATGCATATCGAAAAGAATGTGTTTGATAGTTTGATTGGCACACTATTGAATATCTCAGGAAAGACAAAAGACGGTGTTAATGCTTGACTTGACTTGAAGGAAATAAATATGAGAAATGAGCTCCATGCCGTTGAGACTGGAAAACGGGACTATTTTCCACCAGCTGCTTATACACTGTCTAAGAAGGAGAAAGTTGAGCTTTGTGCATCCTTAGCCGGAGTTAAAGTGCCTGAGGGTTATTCCTCAAACATTTCTTCTCTTGTTTCAATGGAGAATTTGAAACTCGTGGGTTTGAAGTCTCATGACTGCGATGTTCTTATGCAAGATCTCTAACCTATTGCTATTCGTTCTATTTTGCCATAAAATTTACGATATGCCATTATTAGGTTATGTCTTTTCTTTAAGCCAATCTACAGTAAAGTCATCAATCCAAAAGATTTGGATTCCTTAGAAACTGAAATTGCTGTTATTTTGTGTCAATTAGAGATGTACTTTCCCCCGGGTTTTTTTTTATGTAATGATACGTTTGTCGGTTCATTTGGTAAGGGAGATTAGATTTTGTGGTCCCGTGCACAATAGAGCTCAATGGGCCTTCGAAAGATATAAGGGGTATGTTAAGAATGCTTATCGACCTGAGGCTTGTATCGCTGAGAGAATGCTTTATGAGTTAGCTATGGAATATTGCCTTGAAAGTTTAGGAGATATGAGGACAGTAGGGATTTCTACTTCTCGACACAGTGACACACTTTAGGGTAAGGGAACCATAGGTCGTAGAGAACTTGACTTGTCTCCTGAAAAGTGGCACATGGTCCACACATATATTCTTTTCAATGAAGATGAAATTGCACCGTATATTAATAGACATATGACTTTTTTGAAGATGCATAATCGAAAGGCTAGCTCCAAAGCTTTGGCTACTGAACAAAGTAAAACATTTCATCTTTGTCTCAAGGATCAAGTATTGAAAGAGATCAAAAATTCCCCACAAAATATTTCTGACCGACTTAGGAGTTTAGCTAATGGTCCTGATTTCTCTGCCTCATTTTTCTCTAGTTATGCCCTTAATGGCTACACTGTTTATACTAGGGACCAAGATGATAAAAGCACTATGCAAAACAGCGGGGTATGTGTTGAAGCAGAAGCGATGCATTTGTCTAGTGCTAAAGATAATCGACTTGTTTATAGCAAAATGCAGTATTATGGGGTAATTGAAGAGATATGTGAGTTGCATTATATGGGTTTTTCGATACCTATTTTTGGTTGCAAATGGGCTGACAATAATAACAATGTTGTATGCGATGGTTTAGGGCATACTACTATGAATCTCAACAAGATAGGTCATACAGAAGATCCATACATTTTAGCTAGTCAAGCTAAACAAGTGTTTTATGTTACTGACCCGTGTGATAAAAGGAAATCAGTTGTTGTCACATCGAAACCTCGATATGTCATTGATGACAATGATGACAATATTTCTTATGAGGAGAGGTCTACCCCTAGTGAGGTACAAAATGTGGATGATAGTCTTGATTATACAACATACATACGTAGTGATCATGAGGAAGGGACTTGGCATGACAAAAAAATAGTGATGCTAATAATCGACCTAAAATGCGACGTCGTACAGGTTATTATGCTACTAAAAAATCTTATTTTTGTGGTTCTTGTATTGAAATTTATAATCTGTTCTTGATATAAAGTTTTTAGACAGATGCTTTATTTTATTTGGTTTTAATGACAATTCTTAGAGATGATTTCTAATATATTTTTATGTTTGCAGGTTGATGTCGAAAAAGAGAAAGCAAGCAAGTGCTAATGAGGCCTCTGAAACTGGCGAGGCTGAAGAATCTGCTGAGTGTGAGAATCGAAGGGGTCGTACAATTGCTGTAGTAGTTGGAAAAGCAATTCTGAGTGGCGTCAAAATCCCCTTGGAATGGAATCACAAAGTGCCAATTGGGGAAAATAGATATATCTTTTCATCATACATTGGTGTAGTTGTTTGTGAAAGAGTGAATATAAATTATCGCGACTGGGAGGAAGTTCCGAAAGAAGTTATTGATGACCTCTATAAATTCATTACGGTAAGATTAAAGGCTTTTTTATTACTTCCATGATCATGAGTTAGTTGCAGAATTGGAGAATACTTTGTTCTGTTGTTTGTAGACTGTGAATTGAAGAATCTGGTAGGGTTGGATTTCTTTTTTTTTTTTTTTTGTTTTTCCCCATGAAATTCCCATATCTTCTTAATGCTAACACATTGATTTAAACTTTGTGCCTTTTTAGTGAAATTTTAAAAAAATCTGGTTCATTTCAATGCCATTGCCACCATTGAGACTGACCGCATGTAATGACTGGTAGCTAATAGCCATTGTGATGTTCTTTCTTAACTCTTGACTAGAAATACAGTCACATGTGCCATGTTTGAATATAGCTACAAGTACATGTGGTTTCTGTTCCTGCTCTAATAGCTTGCCAACAATAAGAGCTCCCTCCACACCAACTTTTTTAGCAATGGTGTAAACAGGGGTCTGCAATATAATGATAAATAGAATCATTTAGGATGATAGTATTGATAAAATCTAATCTGTCAGAGATAATAACATATTCAGCCATGCTCCAATTGTAGCAGCAACACGAGGAACAGGCCTTTTATCCATGGCAAGCAATTTTAGAGCATATGTCCTGATAGAAAACTCCAATTTAAATTACTCACCACAACAGCAGAAGCAAAAGTGAGGGATTTATCTGATGTATCAAAAGCTACATTTTTTTTGAAACCTATCAAAAGCTACATTACTAAGCCATTCAAAAACAAATAAAGTAAACTTGTAATAACAAATTACAAGTATTACCAGTTTAAATCTGATGTTCTGACTCACAAGTTTATCTAATGTTCTGACTCACAGAGTGAAGGATTTTTGTGCTTGTTTGTGTTCATCCCACTTGTATGCTTATATGTAAATAAGTACAGGAGGCTATTGTGCATACGCATGCTGGGATGATTCTTCCCACTTGTTTGTCCAGTGATGTGATAGGTGGGAACTGAAGGCTGTTGAAGATATCTGGTGGGGTTTAAAGCTTGCTAGAGAGGCTGGCTGATGAAAATAATCATAGAGTGATTCACAGTTGGTTATCCAGGCTTTGAAAACAGCTCGGAGGGAAGGTTCGTTCCATTTAATCATTGATGAGATTCTAGTTCGTTCCATTTCATCATTGATGATATTATTGATGTAGCTGAATCTGATTTATCTACGTAATTTCTCCTTGATGGGGTTCCTAAAACAAAAAGATGAAAAAAAAAAGAAAATCAAGACTGCATTGTGGCTTCCAGAGAATGATCAAGCCTCAAAAAAGCTTGTTTATTCGAATTCGGGTATTGTTTTGATATATGAATTTAGGTATTGTCATATCTAATATCTTTTATTTGAATTGTGCAGAGAGGATTTATAGTGCCGGAAGAACGTAGAAATTATGTATTAGGGAGAGCTTCAATCCGGTGGAGAGCTTTCAAGGCCAGATTAAGAAAGGATTGGATGTACGACACCAAGGGAGTAAATCCAAATGTGATAATAAAGAAGCCACCTTCGATATATCCATTAATAACACAAGCTGATTGGACCAAGTTCATTGAAACATATACTGATGATGCGTTTAAGGTAATCTTTGAATTATAGCCCATAACTAATCATAGTTATGAAAAAACCTTTGAAAACTGGGAATTAATTGTATGTACATTATTATATTGAAAGGAACTAAGTGACAAGAATCGAAAGAGGGCGAAAATGAATACTTCAAGATATCGAGGAGGTCAAAAAGGGCACTTGTATTATGAACAAGAGATTGTAAGTTTAGAAATGATTATGTCAGATTTTTTTGTTGATTTTTTGTAAGGAATAACAGTAAATAATCAATTAATGGATGACTTTCCGTTGTTAAATGGCGTTGTGTTATATGTATTGTCAGGCTGCTGAACTGAAATGATTATGTCAGATTTTTTGTTGAACTTTTTTAGGAATAACAGTAAATAATCAATTAAGGGATGACTTTTAGTTGTTAAATGGCATTGTGTTATATGTATTGTCAGGCTGCTGAACTTCAGAAACAAGGAGTGCAAGTTAGAGACGTGCCTCGACATTTGGTTTGGATAAGAGCTCATTCCAAACAAAAAGATGGTGCAATGACCTTTGACAATCCTGCTGATTTTGAAATAGCTCAAACAATTGTGAGTTTGTTTCTACTTTTGAATCAAATAAATTATTTGGCTATAATAGAGTACACTACCTTAATTAGGTTGTTTATTATTGATGTCAGAAAGTATTGGAGGCTCAACAATCCAAGGAGAAATTGAGGCCACTGGCCGGAATGATATCCTTGCGAGAGCATTAAAGAATCCTGAACATGGTGGTTGTGTTAGGGGCGTTGGGTCGGGTGTTACAAATAAGTTGTACTTTTGCTATAACAAACCATTACCACAAAGTCAATTGCAATCAGATCTCAAGTGTCTCAAATCAAAATTAGAAAATGTGGTTAACACACAAAATTTGCTGTTGTCTTACTTAATGTCAAGTGGTCAGGTTAACGTGGAGCAATTGATAGAACTTGGTGATTCAAATGGAAACCAAGTTGCCCATCAGTTAGCGGGTATCCAAGCTGGTGGATCTGGTGGCCAAGGTTTAGATGGCCTTGGCTTGGGTCGTGACAGTTGGCTTCAAGGTCTTAGCTTCCAACTTGCCTCAGAGCAAAACAAAGTTACATACCCATCAGTTAGCAAGTGTCCAAAAGGGTGGTTCTGGTGATGAAGAGTTAGATGATCATTTAGATGTCTTTGGCTCCAAAGGTGACCAAGGGTTTCGAGGTTTCAACTTCCAAGACCAGAATTTTCAAGCATGTGAGGTTCAACCCGAGCCATACCATGTTGCGTGGCCTGAGGAGGAATATGTGCTAGAAAATGAGAATTTGGAAACGCATGTACTCAATAATGAACAAGACATTACTGGCCAACCATTTCCAAAGGTAACATTATTTCATAATACTTATATGTTTGATGTAAGTATATATATCCTAGATTCTTCTGATGGTGTTAAATTATAGACTACTACATCTTATCAAACCACAAAAAGTTTATTAATACCATAATCCATATTTAGGGAGTTGATAGTCTTTGTTCCTTGGCAATTAAGAGTGACAAAGGGGTCGATATAGTTGCTATTGGAGAAGTGTTTGTTGGGATGGAAGGATAAGTTGTCAAGCATCATTTCAAGCCTGTCCCAAGTGGTCATTATCGAGTTTGTGTTAAAGAAGAAATCAACCCAAATGCACCTCTGCCATCTCCTGAAAGGGAGATAAGATTCATTTGTCAAACTTTAAATTATTATTTAATATGGCCTTCTCACTTGGTTTTTCCTATAAAGAAGGTAAAATTCAGTTTTAAATTATAATTATCTGTCACATTATGAAAAAACCTTTGAAAACTGGGAATTAATTGTTTGCACATTATTATATTGAAAGGTACTAAGTGACAAGAATCGAGAGAGGGCGAAAATGAACACTTCAAGATATCGAGGAGGTCGAAAAGGGTACTTGTATTATGAACAAGAGATTGTAAGTTTAGAAATGATTATGTCAGATTTTTTGTTGATTTTTTAAGGAGTAACAGTAAATAATCAATTAAGGGAAGACTTTTAGTTGTTAAATGGCATTGTGTTATTTATATTGTCAGGCTGCTGATTATGTCAGATTTTTTGTTGATTTTTTTTAAGGAATAACAATAAATAATCAATTAAGGGAAGACTTTTAGTTGTTAAATGGCATTGTGTTATCTGTATTGTCAGGCTGCTGAACTTCAAAAACAAGGAGTGCAAGTTAGAGACGTGCCTCGACATTTGGTTTGGATAAGAGCTCATTCCAGACAAAAAGATGGTGCAATGACCTTTGACAATCCTGATGATTTTGAAATAGCTCAAACAATTGTGAGTTTGTTTCTACTTTTGAATCAAATAAATTATTTGGCTATAATAGATTACACTACCTTAATTAGGTTGTTTATTATTGATGTCAGAAATCATTGGAGGCTCAACAAATCCAAGGAGAAATTGAGGCCACTGGCCGGAATGTTATCCTAGCGAGAGCATTAAAGAATCCTAAACATGGTGGTTGTGTTAGGGGCGTTGGGTCGGGTGTTACAAATAAGATGTACTTTGGCTACAACAAACCATTACCACAAAGTCAATTACAATCAAATCTTAAGTGTCTCAAATCAAAATTAGAAAATGTGGTTAACACACAAAATTTGTTATTGTCTTACTTAATGTCAAGTGGTCAGGTTAACGTGGAGCAATTGAAAGAACTTGGTGATTCAAATGGAAACCAAGTTGCCCACCAGTTAGCGGGTATCCAAGCTGGTGGATCTGGTGGCCAAGGTTTAGATGGCCTTGTCTTGGGTCGTGACAGTTGGCTTCAAGGTCTTGGCTTCCAACTTGCCTCAGAGCAAAACAAAGTTACCCATCAGTTAGCAAGTGTCCAAAAGGGTGGTTCTGGTGGTGAAGAGTTAGATGATCATTTAGATGTCTTTGGCTCCAAAGGTGACCAAGGGGTTCGAGGTTTCAACTTCCAAGAGCAGAATGTTCAAGCGTTTGAGGTTCAACCCGAGCCATACCATGTTGCGTGGCATGAGAAGGAATATGTGCCAGAAAATGAGAATTTGGAAACGCATGTACTCAATAATGAACAAGACATTACTGGCCAACCATTTCCAAAGGTAACATTATTTCATAATACTTATGTTTGATGTAAGTACATATATCCTAGATTCTTCTGATGGTGTTAAATTATAGACTACTACATCTTATCAATCCACAAAAGGTCTATTAATACCATAATCCATATTTAGGGAGTTGATAGTCTTTGTTCCTTGGCAATTAAGAGTGACAAAGGGGTCGATATAGTTGCTATTAGAGAAGTGTATGTTGGGATGGAAGGAGAAGTTGTCAAGCATCATTTTAAGCCCGTCCCAAGTGGTCATTATTGAGTTTGTGTTAAAGAAGAAATCAACCCAAATGCACCTCTGCCATGTCCTGAAGGGGAGATAAGATTCATTTGTCAAACTTTAAATTATTATTTAATATGCCCTTCTCACTTGGTTTTTCCTATAAAAAAGGTAAAATTCACTTTTAAATTATAATTATCTGTCACATTATATAACTACGATCATCCTGATTTTTTTTTTTTACTGATTTTTTTTCCTGTGATTATATGACAAGGCTGATAAGCAAGTCCCTAAAGAAATCACTGCACCATCTCCACACTCGCCATCATCACAATCATCATGCACTCGAAAGTACACAATAACTCATGCTGATAAGTTGAAGTTGACTTCTAATTTGGTTTGAGTATTTAAGGATGTGGCTATTGCAATGAAAACGAGCGGTAAAACTAAATCTTTTACAGTTTTGGCTAGAGTGTTTCAAAATGAGCAATGTGTTACCCTTGATTATGAAGACATGCTTGACTGGTGCTTCCAAAGAGAGATAAATTGTCACACATGTCAATTTTAATGATGTAAGTGTTGTATCCTTTGCCATTTCTAGGTTAAATTTAGAACGCTTTTTGATTAATGAGCTAATAAATTTAAATGAATATTTGCTATGCAAGGTATATGAGTGAGATTGTTCATATAGAAGGTATCTCAGGGTTGTATGGATTTTGTGATTGCAACTATCTATCCCCGTATGCTCCAACGGTAGAAAAAGACGATGATCGATGTGACTATCTAGCTAGGCTATTTTCATGTAATGATGCCAAAAACAAAAATCAGCTCTTCTTTGCCCCGTTTTATGAGGAGTAAGTGCATATGAGTCTATCACATATTTTTTATTAGTTTTATTTCTAATTCCTTTTAAACATTCATTATTGTATTTGAATTTATTGTTTTAATCAATATAGTGGACATTGGATAATGGCTGTTATTTGTCCATGGGTTGGTTTGGTGCATTGGCTAGATCCCACGGGAGTAAAAGATGAACCTCCCAAATTTGCTCAAACAATAATCAACAATTATGTGCTAGATTACTTATTTTGTTACATGTTAACTTCTTTTTATGAAAGTATTTCAATACTATTACTCTAATATTTTGATAATTACTTAGGGAAATGATCAATTTTAGCGCGGAACATCGAAAGGATATCACAAAAATAAAGAAGAAACCTTACATTAAATGGATAAGCATAGAGGTATTTGTATCTTTAATATAATTTTGCAATGCTTAGTACATAATATATGTTGATACATTATATATAACTAGGTGTTTGATTTAACCATCCCCTTTTTTTATGGTTTGTATTAGTGTCCTCGTCAAGCTAATGGCTCTAGTGATAGTGGATATTACGTTTGTCGCTACATGATTGAGACAGTTGAATCTAGGCAAATGATCATCCCCGACAAGGTACGACATTTAGTTTTAATCTATTTTAAGTAGCTGATGCACACATCTGACTATACTCTCTAAAATTTGTAGTTTTTGCACAATTATCACTACAAGAAAAAGGTGAATTAGCAACTGATTTTGCGACTACCATAATAATTAGTTGCAAAAATAATTTTAGCGTCTGAATAAGACAAGTAGTCGCAAATTTTGCAACCGAATTTGTAGTAGTTGTTATGCGGTCGTTAATTAGCAACTAATTTTTGCAACTACAATAATAATCATTTGTAAAATATATTTTTGCGACTGAAAAAAACGAGTTGTCGCAAAATTTGCAACCGAATTTATAATAGTTGCTATGCGGTTGCTAATCTACGACGCTCTTATAATAATTTGCAACTAACACGGTAGTCGCTACTATTATTTTTAATATTTATTAAAAAGAAATAATAATAAAAAACCCTTAGTATAATAAAAAAAACCCTTATTCCTCCAAAATAAAAAAAAAAACAAGTTATTGCCGCCAAAAAACAAGAATTATCATCCGTATTCACCGTAAAAAAAAGAGTATCATACTCTTCCTCAAAAAAAAAAAAAGTTTAGAACCTCAAAGCAAGCCAGCCATCACCGTCGTCTTCCTCTGCTGCTGTTGCGCCACCACCACTTCACCCAGGTTAGTACGCGTTCTTCTTCTTCCTACCTTCCATTCAATCTTTCTCTTACTGCATTATGTCAATTGCAAATTTTAGGTTTATCTTTGAGTTTTTTGTCCAATTTTTTATTTTAATTTTTTTTCAATTGCGAATTGATATTAATCTGATTATTGATTGAATTGCAAATTGGTTTTAATCTGATAATTTCACAGATTCGAGAATTATTCTTGAAAGTTTGGTCGAATTAAGTAACTAGAATTAGGAATTAGTATTTCTCATTTATGTTTATGGGTTATTAGGGGCTATTCTTGAAAATAATACGTAATAAGTTAGTAGAATTAGGAATTGCGAATTTTAGGGTTTATTGAGTTTTTTTGTTCAATTTTTTATTTTAATTTGGTTTCTATTGCAAATTGCGAATCCAGAAATATAATAAACTACTGGAAAGTCCATACTTTTCACCAAGCAAAACCCCCCAAATGTCTATTGTTCACCTGCAGTTTGATTTTAGTGTTACAGTGATCTCGGCCTTTGAATCCTCCCAACACCATAGCAACAAATATTTGATTCAAAACATGGTAATGCAGACTAGACTTTATGGTGGAGCCTTGGAGGACTGGAATTCTTCGATTATTGTTGTCAAAATTTGACTTAGTAAACAGACGAACAATTGCTTTAAGAATATATAACCTACATAATTCTTTTTTTTATTATTATTATTATTATATACACCTGCATAAATCATTTGCATACTGAGGAACCTAGTTCTATCGAATACATGAGTTCTTGCTTGAAAGGAGGCGAATCATATGCAGATCTCTAATTTTCCAAAGAAGTTCCAGTCTTGTATGCATAAGGGCTTTGTAGTTTTTGTCATTTCAGACTCTTGCCTTAACAAGTTAGTAGGGAAGGAACAGAGAAACTTGTGGAGAGTGACAATAACATTGGGCTAGCTTCATGTCTTTTTATGTGTTATTTAACCATGAATTATCTTGTTTAGTTTAGGAATTCTTACTCTGTGTTTTCGAAAAAAAAAAATTATTATATTTTTATTAATGTATATGCACATGTATGTATCCAAGTACACGTTGGCTCTCTTTATTACCAAAAATAATAAAAATCAACGTATCATTTGTGGAATAAAGTAGAAAACATCAGTATAGATTTATTGTACATATTCACTGCAGGCCTGCAGCATTATTACCCCGTACTCTTGCAGTTTTGGTCTTGCTTTCTCACTTTCTGTTTTTGAAGTCAAAAACTTTGTTATGTACTTTCCTACTGTAATTATTCAACTGAAGATTAATGCTGTTGTTTTCCCTTTTATTTCCTAGTGTAATTATTTAACTGAAGATTAATGCTGCTGTTTTCCTTTTTATTGTTTTTTGTTTTTTTTTCTTACATACTGTCTTCACATTAGAGTTACAATTAAGCTTAGAGATTCATCAGTGTTCTCACCTCTTTCTCAAAACTTCAAGGAAAACAACCCACACTAGCATACTATTTTTTTATGTGGGGTCATGAATCAAAATCTGTCACATTGTTATCAGCATTCCTAGTTGTTATCTTCCATACTTTAGTGGCTGGTATTGGTTGAAGCTTTATTGAAATGGAAGGAATGGGCATTTAGGAACCAATTTATTGCTCGGTCTTAGCATTTTTGTCGTTGCAGTCTTTGTATTTGTCTGTTCTTCAGTAGCTTCAGTGGTCTAATTCAATTCATCTCTCTTTCTCTCAATGGCTTGTGTACATCAGGAACAATGCAGATATTGGTTCACAAATGTAGCAGTTAGATACTATAGATAACACAACACCTGCTACTTCAAATAAAAATCCAAATGTCTACATAAATTAATTTGAATACATATAATAACTTATGTTTCAGAATTTAGGCCTTTAAATAGGATACAGTTGTGTGAGTAAAATGTATAAAACAGAACAAAGAAATTGCATAAAACTTCAAGGAAAACAACCCTTACTAGCATACCATGTTTTTTAGATTTTTTAGTTGTACCCCTTGACAAAAACTGACTTAAAACCCTATATAATATTTTAAGATTATTTTTCTTATATTTTTCCTTAACACTAGATATCCTATTCTCATATATATAATGCTTCATATTGATGTATGTAGTTTCCGTTGTTCCGAAATTTTGTTTCTAGATTTGGTAAAATATATTGAGTTATACCTATCATTGTTTTGTTCTGCTTGTTTCACTATAAGCATATGCATATCGTGGATATCATACACTGATGCATTAAGTTTCTTTTTTTTTTTTTGTTCCTATTAAGTTTATTTTTTTTGTTTCTCTCTATTTATGTTGTCCCACCAAATGAATATTGAACACTTCTTTTTCCATTGTTTCAAAAATAAAGAAAAAGGATTGTGTATACACTATATGACTTAACTGCTGCACCTTTTCTTGCTTATCTTTCTTTTGTCTTCTAAGTAATTGCCTAAATAACAAAGTAACGTATATAATAATTAAGAATAAATTGCATATATAAGAAGACTATATTACATATGTGTGTATGATTAACAATGTCGTTTAGCAGTTAGGATCATGGAGAAACTGAATCGAAAATGGATGTATGAGAGATTAGAAGGTCGACTACTAAGAAAGGAGTTCACAATTGGCGTGCGAGGGTTTATTGATTTTGCTAAACAACACCGTTATTTTCAAGAATCTTCAAAGATCAGATGCCCTTGTTCAAAGTAATCTTTCATTTGTGAGTATAAACTTAGGTTACAGCTTACTAGAGTATTGATTCACAAGTTGCCCATGGTTTTCGTCATGCCAATATTTTAGTGTATCTTAATGAGATAGATCGTTAAACTTTGGTAGTTAATTGAGCTTTGGCTTATTATAATGTGTTGTGTAATATCCTGCACTCCTGTAGCCATATCAGGTTGTAAATTAGAAATAAAATTATTTATGTATAATATGCAATTTTGAGTTAAATTATAAACTTTACATGTTAATTCTAATGCAGCGTACATATACTTGGAGACCTGAGTTCGATGCTAAGGCTAGGAGAGAATTTGATAAAAAAGCTGGGGACTGACTTAGGGGCACATTGAACTAAGTTTACAAAATGGCTCTCCATAAACAAGTTAGTTTCATGACTGACACTGTTCGAGCTGAATTCATAAATAAGCGTAAGCATTTTGATTTTGTAAAACGTTCTAACCAAGCAAGTAACCGACCAAACATTAGAGAAGTTTGACCCTGGCCATCGCCAAGGTAGCGTATATACTCCTTAAGTGGTTAAAAAAAATGGTAAGTGTATGATTTTAGCAGCAAACTTATGATTTTTAATATAAGATAGAAGCAAGTAGAAACTTTTTAGCCACTAATATAGATGACTATAACTGGTCTTTATTACAATTGCTCTGTAGTATATGTCCCCCTATTTTTTGTTGTTTTTCTTTAAGTGCTAACAACTTCTTCTAATACAAGGCAAAGAAAAAGGATGGAATTTTACCAACTGCTGCTGAAGTCTATGAGAGCACTCATTCTGTTTGTGTGGGCAATGATGAAGTTGAATTGATGGGTGACAAGTCTCAAAAAGTCATGGTATGAGTATACTTCTATATTTTTCTAAGATTACAAAAAAATATATGGTAGTTAATGTTTGGAGATATTATGGATTGTTTATTTGTTTGTGTGATTGAGTTGGAGGATGAGAATGATTTGCCGGCATTAATCATATGATTAATGTGGTATGGCATAATGTGAATTGAAACAGGTTTATTTTGAAGTCATACCCTATAGGAGGGAATTCTTCAATTTACAAAGGAGACTGTCGAAATTTTTACTAATAACTGCTTACATAAACTATTTTGCTACAAGTGTTGCATCTTTTATTTTAAAAAAACAACGATAATAAAAATACCCCTAATCCTCTGTTCCCTAATAGTTGTACCTTTGTAATTTAGAACATCTATTAAGAGGTAAAATGACACTTTTACCCCTGATCCTCACATTCAGGAATTTCCAAACTATCACCACCCACCCTCAAATTAAATTAAATTGTGTTTTAGAAGTCCAAACTAGTTTTAGGCCCGGACGATGTCCCAAGTCATTGCTTGTATTTTTATTATAGTTGTTTTTATTTAAATGTATTTAGTTTATTTAAGTTTTAACATTTGAGATCATAGTTACTAATACATATCTTAATGCAGGGAGAATATATGGAAAAACTTGAGGAATATAAGAACAAAGGAATTGAGATAAACCCCGACAAAGTCTACTTGGAGGTTGTAGGTGGTCAAAAGAAAGGAAAAGTATACGGTTTAGGGAATGCTTCACAAATGTATTACAAGAGCGATCCTACTTCTCAATCTACTGCATCATCTTCCACTCCTTCCATGATTTCTCAATTAAGTTCTCAAGTTGAAGAACGAAAGAAGATGGCAGAAGAAAACAATAACAAGGTGGAGGAAAGCCAAAAAAATAGCGGCAGAGAGCTTAAAATGTGCTAAGGAATTCGTCGAAAATCATGAGATCGAAAAAGCTACATGGAAGAAGGAAAAATTAGCTATGCAAAAAACATTGCAGGAAATGGCATCACTTGTAAAACAAGTTTACCGTCCTTATAAGCCTCCTACGCCTGCAGTCACCCGCTCTCGTGATACAACTAAATGATTTTTATTTCTTTGGTGGTAATTTTACGAACAACTGGTCTTTTACATTGTCATTAGTTCTTATTTGAAGCAGCTTTTTTTATATGGGAAGTGACTTTTGGAACAATTAGTCATATGAGTTAAATATTGTTTTTTAATACATTGATACAAAATTGATTATATTTTGGATATTTGAATAAAATTAACATTTTGGTTATTTGAATTTATGCGTGGGTACCTTTTTTGTTTTGTGATTAATATTGGTAGTTGCTTGATTATGGTCTCAAATATTGATAGTTAGTCGCAAATATTTAGCGACTTCAAATTTGGTTTAGAGACTAATTGGTTAGTTGCAAAATCATTAGTCTTAGTAGTCGCTAATCTGTCACAAATAATTAGTTTTGTAGTCGCAAAAATTTGGTCTCGTATGTAGTTGCTAATCCGTCGCAAAAAACATTAGTCTCAATAGTCGCAAATCCGTCACAATAATACTAGTCTCCGTACTCGCAAAAGTTTAGTCTCGTAGCCGCAAAAATTTTGTCTTGCAGTCGCTAATCCGTCGCAAAAGTAGTCTTAAAACATTGATCTCTGTAGTTGCTAATCCGTTGCAAATAAATTACGACGGACAATAATTTAGTTGCTAAAATTTGAAATTTAATCGCTAAATGATAGTTGCAAAGGCATTGCAAATCTGTCGCTATATTTGCGACTGTTCAAAAATTAGTCGCAAAAATGGATTTGCGACGAGGTCTTTGGCAACGAACCAAAGTAGTTGCAAATCCGTCGCAAATCCATTTTTGCGACGGATTTGCGACTACTTTGGCCGTCTCTAATTACCCTTTTTCTTGTAGTGATGCTCTCTAAAATTACTGTTGGGCTCTACAATGGTGGGTCTAGGGTTGTTTTGAGATTTTATTTGTTGGGTTTTGATGGGAAATTTGTGAATGTACCTCAGTTTGTTTGTAGTCAAAATGGGGTTAGTTTTGATAGGAAATTGGGTGTGATTGTGGATGTAAGTCATGGGATGAAGGTTATGATTTCTGAAACGATTAATTATTTGGCTTTGTACTCAGCTTCAGGGGGGAAAGTATGGGTTTTTGGGGTGAAATTGATTAGGGATGGGAGGAGTTTGAGGTTTAGTGAAGTGTGCTGTGATTGATTGTAGGTTTGCAATTTCGTCGATTTGACTTTTGTTTGGGTTTTTGATCTTGGGGGAGATGAGAGGGGTTTGGGTTTTTGCATGTCTCAAACTCTTATAAAGTTATAGAAGGGAAACATTTTGGGATGTCCTACATTATCTTCACTTCCTCTGCCCTACTGAAATTCCAATCACTAGTACTGATAATTTGCAACCCCCCTTCCCTGAACAACGTTTTTTCTACTTGAACTACCCTCTAATAAGAATAACTTTCAAATAAGGGGTTTATTCATGTTGGTTAATAAACAGTTGTATTCGTTGATCCCCTCGATCGATCATTGCTCTCTATGATTTCAGTTCTTTGAGAAAAGTACGTGTTGTAACTTCTACTAATTATTTATAAATCATAATATTATAAATTCATGGCTTAGCTAGTAAATTAGAGTATATTAGTAAGTATTAGCATGAATGTAGTCTAGTTTATTCGAATGTATGTATCTCTGGTGTACAAAGGTTCCACCTGGCATTTCATGAGAATTTATCCTAGTGATTATAAAGCCTGAATATTGGATCACCTTTTTTTTGTTTATAAAGGTGGTCATTATTTATTAGGCCTCTATCTTTTGACCTGAATTCTCCATGTTTAAACGTATGTTTGAATGTATCTAATGAGAATGAACTAATATGTTACCTTCAACTCATAAGCTTCTGGACAGTTTTGAATAGGATTATGGTTGATTAACAACTCATAAGCTTCTGGACAGTTTTTGTCGTCACTAGACTCTAGCATTAGTCATTTAAACCTATCTATTTTACATAATAAGTGCATATAAACAAGTTAGTTTTGTAGAACAAAAATATTTTATTGAAAATTAATGGATCATAGAACTAACCTTCAAATTTCCCAGTAAAGAAACTCCAATGTCTTTACTAGGTGAGATCTTCCTGATTAGTTGATCAGAAAATCTTTTTCCCTAAAAAGATAACCTACTTGGCTGCATTCTTCTAAGATTTTGACAGTGCATCGATAGAAGATTTCATATTTGCTTGTTTTTTGTGTCAAATTCATGTAATTTAGATTAAAACATTGTAGTGCAAATAAGCTTTAGGAATTAAATTCGGATTGCACTCTTAGCTTTAATTTCTCCCTAATGCTTCCTGCTTCTTGAATGGACTCACTAGCTAACTGGACCCTAATCACATGCCATTCTAATTCATTCTATTCTATATATACTCAGCCTCCCTCATACAAGGACTATCATACTTAATTGAATTTGTCTTGTATTGCTGCCAAAACAGAATAGCTACCACAACACACACACTACACTCCATAGTGGGTGTAGTTTGTTCCAATGTTTTCCCCTGCTACAGTGATAATGCTTAATGGAATTTGATTTTCTTGCTCACCACTTTATTTGTGCACTAACTATGGCAAGTTCTCCTTTATCTCTTTTTGAAAAGTAGGCTGATCCTTCTGCATTTTCATGCTTATGAGACACTGGTAGAAACTATTATGCACATGGCTGTTATGTGTATTATGAGCAGCCTTTTTGGTACCTGTTGTTCTTATGAACTTAAACTTACAGAAACTTCTGATGTAGACTCTTTATTAGCTGGTTGGTTTCTAGGTTCTTTAGGTGAAGTTTCTTGCTTTCTTAGGTCTTTTGGATTTTGAGTAATGTCAGTTGCAACTGCTTGAGGTTTCTTTGTGGGGGATGAGTGCTTTGCAGAAGATGTTGGAGGTGACCCTGTTGTGGCTTTTGTCTAAATTGGCTTGTCACTTCCTCGTGATAGAGATAGTGACTGTGGTAGTGAAGGAGATGGAGATGGTTTGGGCTGTGCTGGCGCCACTCTTGCTGGATGGAAAGGGGGCCGCTGTGTAGGTGGCTGAGATGGTGCTTGGGTCTCTTGGCTGGGACGTGGAGCAGCAGGTGCTTGCTGAGGTGGTAATAGGCTGATATGGTGCTTGGGCCACTTGGCTGGAACTGTGTACTAATATGTGCTACTCTGCTTGCTGCGTTTTGTCAAAAAAGAAAAAAAGATATACATATTTATATTTAATTAGATGAACTTATTTTATATAATTAACTAATATGTATGTATTTTACATTGTTTTGTAGTATTTTAAGCAAGTTCCTCCAACATAATCTCAACAAATGATCGACGAGCTTAGGGAAATGTAGATTTCATATGTTACTGGATACAATCAACCAAATGACAACGAAGATGATTTATGTGAATTGTAGATCAATATGGTATTGGTATATCTAAGCATAGTTTTTTATTTTCATCAACATTAACTAGAAAGGTTTTTGATATTTAACTCACGTATTTGTTTGTATAGAACAAATTTTGTATGAATGATTCAATTTAATTGTGGTTGGATGTTTTAAATTATATATATGAATTATATTTTGATGGCTTTCGTAGTATCTGAAAATATATTTTTTAATTTTATTATACAAAAAGTTATATTGCACGTACAGGATCTTGGATTTATTTTACATATGAAATGTGAAGATTTTCTTACAGGATATATAAATTTACAAGATATAAAACATGAATACAGGTCTAAAATGAAATACAAAAATAATTCAGATTATTAAAATACAAGAATAATACGGTATAACATACGTAGAGGGGTAATTCGAATAATTAAATACTTTTGGCCGGATTTTTTTTTAAAAAAAAAACATTAGAGAACTGTTATCTAACTTAACCGTTCTCTATTGTAATGCAATATAGAATGGTTAAGTGGCCTAAATCGTTCTGTATTCCTTCCTTGGTGTACGAATTTAAAAAGGGAAAAGAGAACGGTTGTGACTAACAACCGTTCTCTATTCGTTATTATATAAAACGCCTACACGACCCGTTCTCTATACTTTATAAATCGCTTAGCAGAAGAACGCCCCTAAGGCGATCTATAAAGCCTATTATAACAGTTCTCTAAGGCCTTTTTGTAGTAGTCGCGCGGGATCTGAATTATTTTTGTATTTCATTTTAGACATGTATTCCTGTTTTATATCTTGTAAATTTATATAGCCTGTAAGAAAATCTTCACATTTCATATGTAAAATAAATCCAAGATCCTGTACGTGCAATATAACTTTCTGTATAATAAAATTAACAAAAATATTTCCAGATATGACGAAAGCCATCAAAATATACTTCATATATATATTTTAAAACATCCAACCACAATTAAATTGAATCATTCATACAAAATTTGTTCTATACAAACAAATACGTGAGTTAAATATAAAAAACCTTTGTAGTTAATGTTGATTAAAAAAAAATTGATGCCCCAAAATATACTAATACCATATTGATCTAAAATTCACATAAATCATCGTCGTCGTCGTTTGGTTGATGGTATCCGGTAACACGTGAAATCCACCTTTCTCTAAGCTCGTCAATCATTTGTTGAGAATATGTATGAGGAACTTGCTTAAAATACTACAAAACAATGTAAAATACATACATATTAGTTAATAATATACAATAAATTGTTCTACATTTAAGGATATTGCACAATGATACATAGAATCACTAAACATTGGTGGATATTGCCATTTTTGCAAATCAATCAGAATGGATGCTGAATAGATTAACAGTTTGTCGCGGTGATACAAAAAATTCAACAGAAGTTCAAAATAGAGTGTCACTGTGGGGCATGGATAACAAATAAGCCTCAGTTAGTAGTTAAGGCTCGTTAGACACAGGGGAAAAGTCATCAATAGCATTAAGAGCCTGGTCAATCTCCATATTAGTCACTGCCTGAATAAGCAAATTCCTAGCTTGGAAGCTTAAATGACTACCTGCTCTCAAGAAGCTGACTACCAGTGATGGTTGCAGTGAAACAACAGCTTCTCAGCATTATGATGGCCTCCTGGATCCAACTGATGATGAAGTACTGGAAGGGAGTGAAGAGTTTTCTCACCAGGGTTATGATTCTCACCAGGGACATGGTTCTATCAGTCTAGACAACAAGCACCTGTTATCACAAATAGCAATCTAGGGTATATATTATGTTTCCCGTCGTTCATTTCATCCCAAAGGACCTCTTCTTTAATTGAATCGTCCTCATTCAAGATTGTTGCAACACGTCTGTCATACATAACTGCTGCCTCCAGAATGATACCAAAATCTTCATCTTGTGTCCAAGCAGTATGTATTGACAAATCAGCAGTAATACAAAATATCATAAGCTGATCATTCTCTAACTAAGGGGGTTTCTTTCTTTTTCCATTTGAGCCACATTACATTTCACACTCTGGTTTTGCATCCCCAGGATTACCCACGATTACTCTCATGAGATGAAACATAGGCCAAAGGGAATAGCGTTAAGCATTTTAGTCAGCTTTTAACATCTTTCCTAGCTGTTTTGTAAATAGAATAAAATCCTCTCCAATCACTTCTAATATCAATATGGCACATTGTTGTTTGTTTATGCATTCCTAGACCATGTACAGAACCCAATTACCAGGAAATAAAAAAAATACTTAGTACTGAATTTTAAAACTGTTTACAATTACAATCAGGTAATTACATAACCAAATGTGAATTTAAGAGCCCGTGTCAGGATTATAAAACACCAGTGACCCTCGTGTCTTTATTTAGAGTTAAAACCCTTACAAACCCATATAGATCTTCCTTAATTTTCTTTTCCTATTACATATTTAGGTGGGTTGGGGGGTGGTTCCCATGGTATTATTATGGTATAGCAATAGTCAAATACCTCCAATGTTCTCATTTTCTCTGAAAAACCTTCAAATCACAATATGTAAGTTTTAACAATAGTGAGTGTTTTGATCCAAAAATTGATAATTTTTAGAGCCAATCTCAGCATTCGAATTCTCAACCTTACCTCTCACTACTGTCAACCTCTTTTTACTCCCAACCCTCCCTTTCACCAATACACGCAATGGAAAAACCCAAACCCCTCTCATCTCCCACAAAATAAAAAACACAAACAAAAGGCAAATCGACGAAATTGGAAACCTACAATCAATCGCAGCACACTTCACTAACCTCAAACTCCTCCCATACCCAATCAATTTAACCCCAAAAACCTATACTTTCCCCCCTAAAGCTGAGTACAAAGCCAAATAACTAATCGTTTCAGAAATCATAACCTTCATCCCATGACTTACATCCACAATCACACCCAATTTCCTATCAAAACTAACCCCATTACTTAGCCAGCCCAGCAGTAATTTTAAAGAGCATAATTGTACAAAAACTACAAATTTTAGAGAGTATAGTCAGATGTGTGCATCAGCTACTCAAAATACATTAAAACTAAATGTCGTACCTTGTCGGGGATGATCATTTGCCTAGATTCAATTGTCTCAATCATGTAGCGACAAACGTAATATCCACTATCACTAGAGCCATTAGCTTGACGAGGACACTAATACAAACCAAAAAAAAGGGGAGGGTTAAATCAAACACCTAGTTATATATAATGTATCAACATATATTATGTACTAAGCATTGCAAAATTATATTAAAGATACAAATACCTCTATGCTTATCCATTTAATGTAAGGTTTCTTCTTTATTTTTGTGATATCCTTTCGATGTTCCGTGCTAAAATTGTTCATTGCCCTAAGTAATTATCAAAATATTAAGAGTAATAGCATTGAAATACTTTCATAAAAAGAAGTTAACATGTAACAAAATAAGTAATCTAGCACATACTTGTTGATTATTGTTTGAGCAAATTTGGGAGGTTCATCTTTTACTCCCGCGGGATCTAGCCAATGCACCAAACCAACCCATGGACAAATAATAGCCAACATCCAATGTCCACTATATTGATTAAAACAATAGAATTCAAATACAATAATGAATGTTTAAAAGGAATTAGAAATAAAACTGATAAAAAAATAAAAAATATGTGATAGACTCATATGCACTTACTCCTCATAATACGGGGCAAAGAAGAGCTGATTTTTGTTTTTAGCATCATTACATGAAAATAGCCTAGCTAGATAGTCACATCGATCATTGTCTTTTTCCACAGTTGGAGCATACGGGGATAGATAGTTGCAATCACAAAATCCATACAACCCTGAGATACCTTCTGTATGACAATCTCACTCATATACCTTGCATATCAAATATTTATTTAAATTTATTAGCTCATTAGTCAAAAAGCGTTATAAATTTAACCTAGAAATGGCAAAGGATACAACACTTACATCATTAAAATTGACGTGTGACGATTTTATCTCTCTTTGGAAGCACCAGTCAAGCATGTCTTCAAAATCAAGGGTAACACATTGCTCATTTTGAAACACTCTAGCCAAAACTGTAAAAGATTTGGTTTTACCGCTCGTTTTCATTGCAATAGCCACATCCTTAAATACTCGAACCAAATTAGAAGTCAACTTCAACTTATCAGCATGAGTTATTGTGTACTTTCGAGTGCATGATGATTGTGATGATGGAGAGTGTGGAGATGGTGCAGCGATTTCTTTAGTGACTTGCTTATCAGCCTTGTCATATAATCGCAGGAAAAAAATCAGCAAAAAAAAAATAACAGGTATATAATGTGACAGATAATTATAATTTAAAACTGAATTTTACCTTCTTTATAGGAAAAACCAAGTGAGAAGGCCATATTAAATAATAATTTAAAGTTTGACAAATGAATCTTATCTCCCTTTCAGGAGATGGCAGAGGTGCATTTGGGTTGATTTCTTCTTTAACACAAACTCGATAATGACCACTTGGGACAGGCTTGAAATGATGCTTGACAACTTATCCTTCCATCCCAACAAACACTTCTCCAATAGCAACTATATCGACCCCTTTGTCACTCTTAATTGCCAAGGAACAAAGACTATCAACTCCCTAAATATGGATTATGGTATTAATAAACTTTTTGTGGTTTGATAAGATGTAGTAGTCTATAATTTAACACCATCAGAAGAATCTAGGATATATATACTTACATCAAACATATAAGTATTATGAAATAATGTTACCTTTGGAAATGGTTGGCCAGTAATGTCTTGTTCATTATTGAGTACATGCGTTTCCAAATTCTCATTTTCTAGCACATATTCCTCCTCAGGCCACGCAACATGGTATGGCTCGGGTTGAACCTCACATGCTTGAAAATTCTGGTCTTGGAAGTTGAAACCTCGAAACCCTTGGTCACCTTTGGAGCCAAAGACATCTAAATGATCATCTAACTCTTCATCACCAGAACCACCCTTTTGGACACTTGCTAACTGATGGGTATGTAACTTTGTTTTGCTCTGAGGCAAGTTGGAAGCTAAGACCTTGAAGCCAACTGTCACGACCCAAGCCAAGGCCATCTAAACCTTGGCCACCAGATCCACCAGCTTGGATACCCGCTAACTGATGGGCAACTTGGTTTCCATTTGAATCACCAAGTTCTATCAATTGCTCCACGTTAACCTGACCACTTGACATTAAGTAAGACAACAGCAAATTTTGTGTGTTAACCACATTTTCTAATTTTGATTTGAGACACTTGAGATCTGATTGCAATTGACTTTGTGGTAATGGTTTGTTATAGCAAAAGTACAACTTATTTGTAACACCCGACCCAACGCCCCTAACACAACCACCATGTTCAGGATTCTTTAATGCTCTCGCAAGGATATCATTCCGGCCAGTGGCCTCAATTTCTCCTTGGATTGTTGAGCCTCCAATACTTTCTGACATCAATAATAAACAACCTAATTAAGGTAGTGTACTCTATTATAGCCAAATAATTTATTTGATTCAAAAGTAGAAACAAACTCACAATTGTTTGAGCTATTTCAAAATCAGCAGGATTGTCAAAGGTCATTGCACCATCTTTTTGTTTGGAATGAGCTCTTATCCAAACCAAATGTCGAGGCACGTCTCTAACTTGCACTCCTTGTTTCTGAAGTTCAGCAGCCTGACAATACATATAACACAATGCCATTTAACAACTAAAAGTCATCCCTTAATTGATTATTTACTGTTATTCCTAAAAAAGTTCAACAAAAAATCTGACATAATCATTTCAGTTCAGCAGCCTGACAATACATATAACACAACGCCATTTAACAACGGAAAGTCATCCATTAATTGATTATTTACTGTTATTCCTTACAAAAAATCAACAAAAAAATCTGACATAATCATTTCTAAACTTACAATCTCTTGTTCATAATACAAGTGCCCTTTTTGACCTCCTCGATATCTTGAAGTATTCATTTTCGCCCTCTTTCGATTCTTGTCACTTAGTTCCTTTCAATATAATAATGTACATACAATTAATTCCCAGTTTTCAAAGGTTTTTTCATAACTATGATTAGTTATGGGCTATAATTCAAAGATTACCTTAAACGCATCATCAGTATATGTTTCAATGAACTTGGTCCAATCAGCTTGTGTTATTAATGGATATATCGAAGGTGGCTTCTTTATTATCACATTTGGATTTACTCCCTTGGTGTCGTACATCCAATCCTTTCTTAATCTGGCCTTGAAAGCTCTCCACCGGATTGAAGCTCTCCCTAATACATAATTTCTACGTTCTTCCGGCACTATAAATCCTCTCTGCACAATTCAAATAAAAGATATTAGATATGACAATACCTAAATTCATATATCAAAACAATACCCGAATTCGAATAAACAAGCTTTTTTGAGGCTTGATCATTCTCTGGAAGCCACAATGCAGTCTTGATTTTCTTTTTTTTTTCATCTTTTTGTTTTAGGAACCCCATCAAGGAGAAATTACGTAGATAAATCAGATTCAGCTACATCAATAATATCATCAATGATGAAATGGAACGAACTAGATTTTGCATCAAACCAGGTGGCAGCTTACTGCTGCAAAGCTGGACTTTTTACACTAAGACGTTATGCTGGCTGGCAGAAAAACTCTTAGAGCAGACTACTTCTGTCTGTCAGATCAGAACATGAGCTTTTACCTCCTTTGTACTTACGATCATTACATCATAGGGGATCAAGTATCGCTTTGACATTTTATCAAACAATAAATATACTCTTTCTTCTGCAAAAATAGCTATTGAAAGAGGTATAAATTCTTGTAAAAAGAGTTGATCAGAATTTTGTTTTGGCAAGGGAAATTCCCTTTGTTTTGACAGGACACACTTAGCATCACAATTGGCCAAACCACTTTACCAAAGATTTCTCGATATCATCCAAATTAAGCAAATAATTTGAGCTATAATACCCTTGGCATTTTACAGTCTTGAGAGCCCTTGTTGTTATAGTAACTCTTTATAAAATCAGCATATGAATGCTTAACCTCATCAGAATTACTGCGGTCTCGCTTAGTAGTATAGCTAATTTATTTCAAGAACTGTATGACCATCGAAAACAAAACAAAGACATCCTCCAGCAAAAAAAAAAATGACCAAACCAATATTAAGATTTCAAACCAAAAAATTAAATAGCTTACCATAATGAATTTAAAGAGGTCATCAATAACTTCTTTCGGAACTTCCTCCCAGTCGCGATAATTGATATTCACTTTTTCACGAACAACTACAATGTATGATGAAAAAATATCTCTATTTTCCCCAATTGGCACTTTATTGTGATTCCATTCCAACGGGATTTTGACACCACTCAGAATTGCTTTTCCAAATACTGCAGCTACTGTACGACCCCTTCGATTCTCACACTCAGCAGATTCTTCAGCCTCGCCAGTTTTAGAGGCCTCATTAGCACTTGCTTGCTTTCTCTTTTTTGACATCAACCTGCAAACATACAATTATATAGAAATCATCTCTAAGAAGTGTCATTAGAAATCAAATAAAATAAAGCATTTGTCTAAAAACTCTACATCAAGAACAGATTATAAATTTCAATACAAGAACCACAAGAATCAGATTTTTCTAGTAGCATAATAACCTGTACGACGCCGCTTTTTAGGTTGATTATTAGCATTACTATTTTCATTGTCATGCCAAATCTCTTCTTCATGATCACTACGTATATATGTTGTTGTATCATCAAGACTATCATCCACATTTTGTACCTCACAAGGGGTAGACCTCTCCTCATAAGAAATATTGTCATCATTGTCATCAATGACATATCGAGGTTTCGATGTGACAACAACTGATTTTCTTTTATCACACGGGTCAGTAACATAAAACACTTGTTTAGCTTGACTAGCCAAAATGTATGGATCTTCTGTATGACCTATCTTGTTGAGATTCGTAGTAGTATGCCCTAAACCATCGCATACAACATTGTTATTATTGTTAGCCCATTTGCAACCAAAAATAGATATCGAAAAACCCATATAATGCAACTCACATATCTCTTCAATTACCCCATAGTATTGCATTTTGCTATAAACAGGTCGATTATCTTTAGAACTAGACAAATGCATCGCTTCCGCTTCAACACATACCCCGCTGTTTTGCATAGTGCTTTTATCATCTTGATCCCTGGTATAAAAAGTCTAGCCATTAATGGCATAACCAGAAAAAAATGAGGCAGAGAAATCAGGACCATTAGCTAAACTTCTAAGTCGGTCAGAAACAGTTTATGGGAAATTTTTTCTCTTTCATTACTTGATCCTTGAGCCAAAGATGAAATGTTTTACTTTGTTCAATAGCCAAAGCTTTGGATCTAGCCTTTCGATTATGCATCTTCAAAAAAGTCATATGTCTATTAATATACGGTGCAATTTCATCTTCATTGAAAAGAATATATGTGTGGGCCATGTGCCACTTTTCAGGAGACAAGTCAAGTTCTCTACGACCGATGGTTCCCTTACCCTCAAGTGTGTCACTGTGTCGAGAAGTAGAAATCCCTACTGTCCTCATATCTCCTAAACTTTCAAGGCAATATTCCATAGCTAACTCATAAAGCATTCTCTCAGCGATACAAGCCTCAGGTCGATAAGCATTCTTAACATACCCCTTATAAGTTTTCATTTATCTTTCAAAGGCCCATTGAACTCTATTGTGCACGGGACCACAAAATCTAATCTCCCTTACCAAATGAATTGGCAAATGTATCATGGGAAAGTACATCTCCAATTGACACAAAATAACATCAATTTCAGTTTCTAAGGAATCCAAAGATGACTTTAATGTATATTGCCTTAAAGAAAAGACATAAACTGATAATGGCATATCGTACATTTTTTGACAAAATTGAACGAATAGCAATAGGTAAGAGATCTTGCATAAGAACACGGCAGTCATGAGACTTCAAGCCCACGAGTTTCAAATTCTCCATTGAAACAAGAGAAGAAATGTTTGAAAAATAACCCTCAGGCACCTCCGGCTAAGGATGCACAAAGCTCAACTTTCTCATTCTTAGACAGTGTATAAGCAGCAGGTGGCAAATAGTCCTGTTTTCCAGTCTCAACGGCATGGAGCTCATTTCTCATATTCATTTCCTTCAAGTCAAGTCGAGCATTAACACCGTCTTTTGTCTTCCCTGAGATATTCAATAGTGTGCCAATCAAACTATCAAACACATTCTTTTCGATATGCATAATATCTAGAGAATGTCGGACAAAGAGAAATCTCCAATAAGGAAGACGCCAAAAATCACAACACTTCTTGTACCCTTTCTTAGGAATGGCATCTTTATTTTTCTTTAACTTGCCAAAAGTAAGTTGAATGTCTTTCACCTTTTCAAATACTTCTTGGCTAGTAAAGACTTTTGGGCGACTTTCAAAATTGTGTTCCCCATTAAAAGCTTTCTTCATTCGACGATACTTATGATCCAAAGGAAGAAATGGACGATGATCATAGTAGACCGTCTTTCTAGATGCCGAGAACCATTTGCCTTTCCAACCATCTTCACATATAGGACAACCACCTTCCCCTTTTACAGAATAGCCAGAAATATTACCATATGCTGGATAATCTTGTATGGTGCAAAATAACATTGCTCTTAAATTGAAAATTTCATTCCGATTAGCATCAAACACTTCTACACCTTCTTCCCACAACAACTTTAAGTCATCAATGAGAGGTGCCAAATACACATCGATGTCATTTCCTGGTTGTTTAGGTCCAGAAATAAGCATTGACAACATAATGTACTTTCTTTTCATGCATAACGAAGGAGGTAAGTTATAAGCCACTAGCATGACCGGCCATGTACTACGGATGCTACTAAGGGAACTATATGGATTAATACCATCAGTAGACAACCCAAGGCGTAGGTTTTGTTCTTCACTACCAAAATCAGGGAATTGTCCATCAATAAATCTCCATTGCGGTGAGTCAGCCGGGTGTCTAAGTAACCCATCCTTTTTCCGGCCGAATTTATGCCATGTCAACTTCTCTGCATCTACCGGGTCTGAATACATCCGTTTAAACCTAGGAATAATTGGAAAATACCACAAAACCTTAGCTGGCACTCCTTCCTTTTTCTTATACCTTGAGAGATTACACTCTGGGCAACTCTTTGCTGATTCATTTTCATTTCGATAAAGTATGCAATCGTTAGGACACGTATGAATTTTTTTCATAACGCAAACCCATTGTGCATAATGTTTTTTTTGCCCTGTATGTATTCTTTGGCAAAACATTATCAAATGGAAGGACATCTATCAAGAACTCAAGTAATGCTGTAAAACTCTTATCTGTCCAACTATGACCCACCTTCAAATTGTATAACTTAAGTGAAGCTGATAGCTTTGCGTACTTACACCCTTCATATAAAGGATTCTCAGAATCACTCAACAATTCTTCCATCACATTTGGATCATCATCTACTCTGTGTACGAATTGACTCGTCATGTCCTCTAATTTGTTACCCTCATCGGTATTATGGCCTTGAGCATCCTTGCTTGTCATTTCTTCCCTTTTTTCACCATGACGATGCCAACAAGTATATGTTCTATCAAATTGCCTTTTACTCAATGATTAAGTATCACATCAGCTTTGTGACACATAAGATTATGGCAGATGTAATAAGGACATGGCAATTTATCACGCCCTTTACTATTATTTTCCAAAGCGAATTTAATAAATTCCATAACTCCGGCTTCATATTCTGGATCCCCTAATTTTTTTGTGGTTATCCAAATTCGGTCCATATCTACAAACTAGGAAGTTAAAAATAAAAATATATACACTCAAATCACAAACATAACTGCACTTGCTATATACTTATGGATATAATTTTAACATACACTACCATAGTTAATGCCTACAACAATGTAAATAAAAACAAGCTAATAAACTTAGCTTTACATGTAAATAACAATTTATTTAAGCTCTTTAATTACTAAAGTATAAGAATCTATTTATTAGTGCAACTGAATAATACAATATTATAATGTGTTTTCATATAATGTAATTATTGGACCACCTCATAACCTGTTTGTTCATTAGTTTTCTTTAATCAAAAATAAGCTTTGTTATGCGAACTTCTCAAGTCAATTATGCCCAACATTGTTCAATAGTGAAAGAAGGCCCCACCTTTACCATTATTTAATATACATGCAACATCCCTATAAAAAGCCACAAATTTGAGATATTATTATTATTATTATTAAAAGTAAAGTTATAAATAATTCAGTACCACAATTATGACTCCCATCTCTTCTCTCTTCTCTCTTCACAATCAGAGACACAATTTCCACAAAAACACTGCACACCCTTTACCATTTTCTTTCTAGTAGAATATTTAGCCCCACTTCTTTGTTTTGCTTTCTACTTACCATTTTCTGTTCCATTGGGCATCAAACTCTATATCTAATTTTGTCTGACCTTAAAAACCAAAACATTTTGTTTTTAAACAAACCTCATTCACAAAATGGGCTCAGCCATATCCTCATCAATTTTACCAACAGCATATATTACCTCGCTAAACCAAAACCAAAAATTGTATGTTTATCTCACTGTTTTAAGTCCTATCTTTATGTTCCTTTTTTAAAAAAAAAAAACAAAATCTGATTAGGGTTCTAAATTGAAATTAGGTAAGATTAATTTGGCTAAAATAATTTTGATTACAATTGAAATAACAGTAAATTTGACAAATATAAGGGTAATTTGATTGAACTTACTGCAATAATTCGGCTTAAAAATTTACATACAAACAATCGATGAATTAATCCCAAAAACAAGAACTTTGAAGTTTTTTTCAATCACCTAAAATTCGAATTCTATGAATTTAATTCTGTTTCCTTCATAATTTGTATGATTCATGCAATCAGGTTGACAATTATCAGAATCAAATTACTCTACCACAACAGAAATTCGAACAAAAAAAAATTCGAGCCTACCTCAATTTACTGCAGGTGGCTCAGCAAACAAGTGTGGTACGCCGGTACTGCAGATAGACGTGGAGCGGCAGTGGAGTAAGCGGTTGATGAAGGTTTTTCTATGGATGTTTGATGGAGGTTTAACTTTTTTATTCCTGATGAATTGAATGAGAAAGAGGTTTCACTTTTTTATGAAAGTGAAATTGATGCGCGGGCTTCAATTTTACCTTTTACTCTTTTAGCCGCCTTCGTTTGGGTAAATTATTACTCCGTATGTACGTATATAATTTCCTCCTAATTTAAAAAAATTAATTAATTAATATAATACAAAACGGTTGTCAAGATGACCGTTCTATATCATTTATAATAAATAATTATTTTTTTTAATTATTTGAGTAAATTGAAATACAGAATGGTTAACTAGCTAACCGTTCTATATGTTTTAACGTACAGAACGCCTCTTATCTTAAAATGATCTATATTCTTCTGGAGAATGCCTACCTTTGATAACCGTTCTATATTTTGCGATCTCTAATCTAGTTTTTGGTGTAGTGCATAAAAAAATAAATAAATAAACTACAAAAATCAGATTAATGCATCTAGCTACTCTATATAACATTCCTTTTTATCATGGCATTTAATAAGGACTTAAACTAAGTAAATAAATTTAGAAAACACAGTAAGATCATCCATTATGCAAGTCATTTGCTTTGGTCAACAATTCATGAATAGGGTATCTAAGTATTATAGTATGTCAAAAGCTAAGGATTTTTAAAGAGTATCTAAGATAAAGTACCTTCTTTTGCCGCAAAAATACACTAAGAGCAGACAATCCGTGGGAATCAAGCTACTGTACAAGGCTGGAAAAACAGATTAGGTTGTGTTAGTAAACTTTAAAATTTTATAGGATGCAAAGTCTTTAAATATGAATGCACATACAATTATGTATGTCATATGGAAAGCTTTTGGAAGTGCATTATACAATATTAGTGAACTAATAATATCTAAGGTATAGTGTACCTTCTTTTGCTGCAAAAGTACAGTATGAGCAGAAAATCGTGCAAATCCAGCTCCTAAACAACGCTGGAAAAACAGAAAATGTAGTGTTAGTAAACTTTGACAGTTTAAAGGAAGCAAAGTCTGAGTTAAAACTGAGTCCAAAAGATAACATAGCAACATCATAGCAATTTAGCTAGACAATAAATTTTACTTATAGCACACAAAAGCTAAGGCCTTACAAGGAACCGTCATATTTTTCCTTTGATGCAATCAGAAACTTACATACCAGGATAATAATAAACAAGTAAAGACTCTGAGTTCTGTTTTCAAAGGTAATAGTCTAATGCAACCATAATTTTCCTTTGATGCAATAAAAAACTTACATATCATATATTAATAAATATGATAACCTCTTGACTTTGCAATGAACTTGAAGAAAGCTAAAACAGGGTAACAATGTATAAACACTACACAACTTGTACAACATAAATACAAGAGTGAAGAAGTGGAGGTAATTCTATTTACTTGCAATGTAGAGAAATTTCACAGAATAGATGTAATGGAAGACATCAGCCTATGACTCAATACTCGAACTCCCCTAGTTCAAATCAACTACCCATGTAAAAATATTATGCACGACTACACGCATGACATGTCATTTTGGGCTATAAACATGCAAGTACTTTTATACGACATCCAATTTTTGACACTATGACTTGTTAAACACTTGTGGCACGCGAATTTTGATAAAAAAAAATAAAAAAAAAAAGCCTTCCGGAATCAATTTGATGAAAAGAGTACAATTAAGTCATCAATATACCTTCTTTGGGTTCAACAGGTAGTCGTACAATGTATCTTCTCCCCACAAAACGACCTTATTCTTGTAAGCAGAAGAGTAAGAATATCCTGCAGTTGAGCCTAACTGCCTCCCGATAAGACCATTTAGATTTGGACCTATACTGTCATAAATCTGAATAAGAATAGCTATAGTACTGAGGTAGCCAATATATTCAGCCACATTTATTTCATAACACCAATGACGGAAGAAGCATACATCAGACAATTAAGTACCAGAATGTACTCCTTAAAATAGTAGTAAGGTGATTAAGTGCCAATCGGCATTTCAGATAAAAATTCATAAGCATTCTCAAATAACTGTCAGACACAACACGACATTACCAAGAACATAACAAGGTCACAAATCACAGAAAAGAATTTAGTAAAAGATACATGACCATTACAATAGACATCTTACATGATCATGATTTACCACTAATCACTAATGAGGGCAATTCCCCCTGCCAAGTATATTCAGCCTTCTTTCTGCTTACTCTATATCTGAAGTTACATTGTTAACAGAAATCATGTTATAAACATGATCTTTTTATGTTAGTCCTTATTCTCTTTAACTTACATAAACCAATTTAAAATCAGTAAAATCAGATTTGATGAATGTTGGTGATTGCATACTACAAGACACTTGTAAATCATCAAAATTTAGTTTTAAAAAGTAAAAATCAGTTTAATCAATATAATTATATAAATCAAGTGAAGGGAACAAGGCCTTGCAAGTTTATAGAACAAAAACAAGTACACACTTTTATTGTACTGATAAATACAAAATCAAACTCTTAGGTTTCTGTCAGCTATAAATTCATGTACTTTCACAAACAGTTTTGCCATACTAAATTTAACTAATTCATATACTAACAACCTAAATATTGACAGCCCTCTAAGGATAGGGAAGAGGAGAAATCCAAGACAAATTTCTGCCAACAGACCAAACCTAGTCGAAATCCTCAAGAACTTTAGCAAGCAACTGAAACACCAATTTTCAATTCAGTCAGTTATTCCAACCTAGTTAATTAATCCTCAAGCCTTGTTTAGAGATTGGAAGCCTAAAGTTGCTAAGGACGGTGATAACCTTGTCACTTGCTTAGTTGGATGTTGTGTTTATAAAGGGTATTATATCCAAACAATTCAAGGCAATCTTCATCAAAACAAGAAAGTGTCATTCACAACAAAGCTAGAAAATTCAAAGCCTATAAAATTCATTACAAAAACCCAAATATTCCAAACTAAAACCCTAGAAAACGCCATAAAATTCATAACAAAATCCCATAAAAAACTACTTTAAAAAAAACAGGGAAACATCAAAATTGTAAGCATAATTCACGAAAAAAACAACATAAAAAGAAATTAAATCATCTAATTAAGGGAAAAAATTACCTCGGAATAAGAGACCGATTCTTATTCTACTCCAACTCAAAATCGTAAACATACAAAGAATAATTCCCAATTTTAATGAAATTTAGAGAATTGTGAGATATTAGGGTACCAAAAAACGATAGATATATACCTAGCAACAAAATTGTATAGCAAATTGTAAATTGATACCTGAAAATTATGAAAGAGACGAGCAAAAACCCCCCAAATTCGTTCAATTTTAGCAAGAAAAACCCAGAAATTAACCACAAAAGGTTAGATGTTGTATGTTGTCGGTGATGAGTGAAGTGAAGGTTAGAGGAGAGAAAAATAGTGGGCAATTTAATTGGGAGTATTATTTTAATACAACCCGCTAATTTTTTCATTAAAATTTTTCAAATTGCGGGCAGCAATGACTCACGTGTATAACACGTGATTTTCCCTACGGTTTACAATGTCGAGACAATCTTCGACCACAAAAAGAGTCGAAAAAAACGGAATCCAAAACTGTACGCTGACGCCACAGCAAAGGTCTCGAAGCAAAAGCGTCCAAAATACACTGGTTTTGTAGTAGTGTTGATATTCTGAAATTTAGAATGATTTTGGTTTTGCAATGGGAGTCTCATAATTTCAGATTTAAAGAAATTCGACCTCAAAAAAAAGTAAAACTGGTGTAGTTAAGATTCAATCACAGATCACTTATGTATAATAGGAAAGCATTGACCAACTACACCAAGGGGTATCAACACATATGTGATATATTGTATTATTTATTAATTTGTACCATTTATATTTATGTCAAATGATTGTATGATTCTATTAAAAATAATATGATTCCTTAAATGTTAATAGGTAGCTTATTATTTAATATATTATGATAATTACTATTGAATAAAAATGTTGTTAGGGTTGGGTGTAGGGTTTAGGTTACATGGTTTAGGGTTAAAATTTTATTGAGCAATAAATGTTAAGATAATGTATTGTTTGTTGTTTTTTAGTTTAATAATGTATTTTAACAAGAATATGTATTAATAAAATGTATCAATAAGAAGTTTTGCACAATACTTGTTTTGTTATGTGCATCACTTTCTAAATGGATTAGCTTACTGATATATCAGTTGCTTTTATAGATTGTGATGATTTCTTCTATTTGATAAGTTAATACTAGTATATTGTTTATATTTCAAAAAAAAAAAAGAAAAAAAAAGTGTGTTATTCGTATTGTAACTTACATTTGTACATTTTAATTTATATATTACCACGAAGTTTAAATTGTAAGTTTTTTAATAAAATATATTAACATAGAGGTAAATTGTAAATATTCCTTATATAAATTCTGTGTTATCCATTACTAAGTTAGTTTTTATTTATTTAAGTTTGGTTTGAAATCAAACATGTATTAAATTCATCATGTTCAATAACATCCACTAAAATGAACTGTTTATATTAATCATTTGAGCTGAGAATTCATATAATCGTTTTTTTTTTTTTTTCAGAATCATATCCATAAACATGGGTATACATTTATTGTAAAGTTGGGTACATCTTAAGTATTAAGTTCTTTTTTTTATATAAATATTTACAGAAATATTAAGATAACACATATTAAGGCAAATTTTTGGGTTATATGTGGTTGATTTTTTTTTTTTTTTTTTTACCAAAATCTGGTACAGTAAGGTTTCGAACACGGATCACTTTTGTACATTAGGAAAGCATTGATAAACCGAGTCAAGGGGTATTAGCATTTACGTTTTTAAATATTTAGTGTTTTGTACCATTTTATTGTGATGTCAAAATGAATTCCATGATTCTTTTAAAGACAAAATGATCTCTCGAATTGTTATTTTGTCCGTTATATTTTGTAAACCCTAAAATTATTTTGGGAAATTCTCTTTGGTAGACCTATAATAATAAACATTCTCAGTGGTAAAATGCAAAAAAAGTTATTATCCTTGGTGAATCATATTTTAAAAAGTTTAGTCATTGGTAACATTAAGCAAGGTAATTAGGCATTTCTTAACCATGGTTAACCATTCTAAGTAAAAAAAAGTTGTGATGCCTAAAATACCCCCATTTTAAAATTAATTAAAAAAAAATAAAAACCACCACCTTGCCACCACCTTCCCCACCATTCTCCACCATTCCCTCACCCCCTCCTCTGCTCGCAGCTCCCCTCCCCCAGCCCCTATTCCCTAACTTCCCCATTCCCGCCGGCAACCTTCGTCCCTACCCCGACACGCCAAGTACCCAACGCCCCAACCCATTTTCTCTCCTCAAATTTGCTGCTACAAAACCCCCAAACCTCGCAACTCGCCACCAAGGCAGCCCCCGCCACCAGCGAAGTCGAGTCGGCGTCAAAATCCCAGCAAGTACCTCAAATCGCGCTCTTCACCTTCTGGAAATCACATCTCTACCCCTTCGACACCCTTCCCCATCTTCTCTCCTTTCTCGCACCTCACCACCATTGAAAACGATAAAAAAATTGAACTAAATTTGTGAATTTCTGGTAATTGAAACCCTAATTCCTCACAATTGAACAAGAAATTATGTAAATTACAAATAAATTGAAATTAATTTGATGTTTGTTGAAGCAAAAGGTGTAGCCAGTGGGGATTTAGGGTTTAGGGTTTGTCGTTTCGGGAAAGGGTGTGGCTGGGGGCTGGTGGTGTCTAGGGTAGGGGAAAGGGGAAGGGGGATGGAGTCGGCAGCAGGGGAGCTGTGCGCCGGTTGGTTAAGGGGAAAGGGACGTCGGTGGCTGGTTGCTGGTGAGGAAGGGGAGGTTGCTTTTTTTTTCCTTTAAAAAAATCTAAGAAGGGGAAATCAGGTCTGCCATTAGGGTCAAATTAGTCATTACATCATTAGTTAACCATAGTAACGCTTAAAATGCCTAATTACCTTGCTTAATGCTACCATTGATTAAACTTTTTAAAACAGTTCACCAAGGATAATAACTTTTTTTGCATTTTACCATTGAAAATCTTAATCATTAGAGGTCTACCAAAGAGAATTTCCCAATTGTTTTTATTCAGGAGAATCTATGGCTAATTGTTTTATTCTAACCGTTTTTTTTTTTTTGTATTTTTTTTTTGTATTGTAAACTCCTTAATTGGTATTTAAAAGTCTATTTTAAATTAGATACATAAAAAGGAATATTTAGATAGAGCAATTGTTTATTCAGGCAAATCTATGGCTAATATGTGATTTTACGTAAAAAAATTTAAAAATAAGAAAAATGGATATAGTTAGGTATCGAACACAGATCAGTTATGTACAATAAGAAAAATGGGTATAGTTAGGTATTGTAGACCCGGGTAATTTTCTCATTATTTTTTGCTCATTTAACAAATGAGCAAAAAATTTTGCTCAATTATTAAATGAGAAAAAAATAATGAGCAAATAAATTTTGCTCATTTGTTACATGAGCAAAAAATAATGAGCAAATTACCCGGGTGTACAACAGAATAGGCTCTTGGGTATCATCACATTCCTTAGTTCTAAACATTATTATATAATATTAAATATGATGGTACCAAATGAATAAATTAAATATTTTTATTAAAGATTATTTATAGTTACACATCTAAAAGTATAACTTTGTTCCCTTAAATAAATGACTTTGTTATTTTGATATTTTTAAAAAATATGATTCCATAAAATAGAAAAGTTATTAAACAATTTTTTTTTTAAAAAAAATTTACGCATTGTCATAGGGTTCAAACTCAAGTAAACTATACAAATTACACACATAACTTGTATACTAGACCATTGGACTAAGGGGTATCAACACGTTGATTAGATGAAAAGAAATTTATTTATTAAAATGTTTTTGTGTCTATTACAATTCCACCAAAACTTTGGTGTCTAATTACAATCCTGGCAAACTTTGGTGTCCATTAAAATTTTGACAAAATTTTGTCTATCCAATTATTATTTCAACTACAACATTAAACCAATTTCCAACTACAAATTCTACGAAAATTTTACAACATTAATCCGTATCAACCAAATTTGTATTCCGCAAATTTATCGTTCGCTTGTTTATAACTAATAAGATTAATTTTGATGTTAATAATTTTTGAAAAATAAAAAATTTGCCACACCGAGGACAAAAAAAATCAACGGCGAAGTATTCCGTAACAATCGCAGCGGGGAAAACGATCTCATGATGCAACTGAAAATAATACTGAAAAGATACGATAAAATACTGAAAATAATATACTTCGTTGTTATTAAACATGAAAGACGTATGCAGATGTGAAAGTATTACTTTTATTCATTTAGATTTTATAAAAAGAAGAATGATTCTTTAAAATGAAAAATGTTTGAAAAAAAAAGTTAAAATAGTTTTTTTTTATAAAAAAAAAAAGGTTGCAAGGTTCGAACAATGAATGACTTTGCATTATACGCAATTTCAATAATTGCTACACCATTCAACTAAGGGGGTATTAGCACATTCATTGGATTAAATATTATTATTTAATTTTAAATCTGTTGATATTAAATGAAGAGGTTCTCTTTTTTAATTTCTAAAATTTGAAAAATTGTTACTTAAGAAAATACTTTTTTTGGGAAAAATAAAATAGTTATTTAAGATTTAGGTACTATTTTTTATAATAAAATAAAAAAGTAACACATCTAAAAGTATATCTTTGTTCCTTTAAAGAAATAAAATAAAAGGTATGTTTTTGTTATTTTGATATTTTAAAATAAAATATGATTCCGTAAAATTGAAAAGTTATCAAACCAAAAAAAAAAACTTATGTACAGTCACAGAGTTCGAACTCAGGTCAACTATATATGGACTTTTACACACAAAATTTGTATTCTATACCATTGCACTAAGGGGTATCAACACGTAGATTAGGTGAAAATAAATTTATTTATTAAAATGTGTCTATTACAATTACGACAAAACTTTGATGTCTCCAATTACCATTCTGGCGAAACTTTGATTTCCATCACAATTCCGGTAAAATTTTGGGTGTCCAATTACAATTCTGGCACCAACATTAAATCAATTTCCAACTACAAATTCTACGAAAATTTTACAAAATTAATGTATCAACCAAATTTGTATTCAAATAATTTATTTTTCAAAATTATTAACATTAAAATTCATCTTAATAATTATAATTAAACCAGCGGTGAAAACAGCTGGAAAACACGCCGTGGAAAAAAATTCACCGGCGAAGTAATCGGTAACAATTGCACTGGGGCAAATGATTGCATGACGCAAGTACGTAACTAAGAATTCCATATTTCTTTTTTTATTTGAAAGGAAAAAATTCCAGATTTCTTGAATGTTCTTTATTTGTTATTGCTATGAAG